CCCCCCCCCCCTAAACTCACAAGCTAATGGGACTAGGTGCCACGAATGAATGTCCTAACTGAGTTTTTGTTCGGGCTTTCTTGGGGTGGTTATAGAAAAAAGTAGGGACAATCGGCAACATTTTTAGATGAATTATATTTTCATGTTCATTCGTCTACGTCTTGATTTTATACTCCTTTACTACTCCAAGTAAATTCGTGATCGAATTGGTGATACTTATGCAGACCGACTTGTTTTATTGTATGTCTTTCATCATTCTAGCCACAACGCCAGTACCTGTAGGAAATATGGTGGGCGGAAAGAGATCTTTCGTATTTATCTACTTTTTTATTTGTAGTTCTATGGGAATATGGTGGCATTTATTTGTTTTAAAACAAAAAAGCAGATATAAAGTACGTTTGAACTAAATATTTATATCAAAAGACGTGGATGACAGCTGTGAAAACAAAGCATGCAAGCAGAAATGCCCCTGGTTTTATGTTGTATCTGTGGCTAATAAAGTTTCTTCAAAATTGTGACATAGCTGCTCATGTGGCACGTTTAGTAATTTCCTTGTACTCTAAAAGGTATGGTTGTTTGAGAGTAAATACTTCCCGTCTGTTTACAGAAGGCTTAGATGTGTTATCTTCTTTCTTTCTTTTCTAAGGTGTCGCAATTGAGATAATAGGTATAGCTCTTGTATTAATCGCACGTTCGCGGTGGTTCCATCTACCGGCAAGTACATAAGTCAACTTTAATACATCTAATTGTTTACATTGTAACCTGCTGTTTCGCCCTAGATACATTATTTATAATTTTTCAGAAATAGGGAGGGTCATCAGAGTATACTCATAAGTGTTATTTATAAAACCATTTACCAGACGTTAATGATATAAAAGAAGAAAAAAACATTCAGAATGATGTATTTTGTTTTTCTGGGGAACCATTTTTTATGACATCAATTATTCATAGGTCTTACGACAATTCTTGATGAGTTTCGATAGGAATAGACATTTTAAAAACCGCTACAGGTTGCAACAGGTGTTTTTATTTTATATAAAGTTTGCGCCACAACAAGTAATAAAGAAAGAATAACTAACATTTAGAATTTAAGTTCAAGAAGTTCCTTTAAGTGTATAAATTAGCTATGTGGCACAAATTCATATATTTTTCGTAGCTTAAATTAAAGAATAAATAAAACAACTCTGCTGTTGGTTGATTTTGAGATTGAGAAAGTTTATGGACTCTGAGAAATGTTTGTGTGACAGTATTTTGTAGTGGAGGTTATAATCGCGGCTAGATGATTGGCTCTTAAGTCTCCCACTAAAAATGTATTGAATAAAGTGTCTCTTCGGGTGACTGTAT